CTCTGCAGTGTATGCTCCTTTCCCAGGGCTGCAAATTTCACCTGCCATTAATTTTGTTCATTCAGCACAGTTGTTTACAGGAAAAAAAAATAAGACTTTGAGGAAATGTTGGCATAACTACTGGCTTTGTTTCTCCAGACCTTTCTTAAACAGATGTGTAGGACAAAGTGAGGAGGGGTCAGGAATTGCTGTCTCCCAGGGTCATATGAAGAGAATTAGAAAAAACTACTGATGATCAAAAATTGAACAGATTACAAGTTTGGTTAACCTTAAATAAAAAAAAAAAAATAAAAAAAAAAAGAAGACTGGAGGTACACATGTCGATAGTCTTCAAAAGCATAAATTCTGTGGTGAAAAGGAAGGGAACAACCTGTTCTCTAAATGGGTAGGGCAAGAAGTAATGGAGTTAAACTGCACATAAGGAGTTTCGAATTTGAGGCAGTAGAAGACTGTCCTAACCTAAGGAAAGCAGAGCACTCAAAGGGATGCCTGGGGAGGTTATAAAATTTCATCCCTTATTTGTATAATTTGGATATTTACCAGGAAAGAGATGGGGAGATTGGATCCTGCTTTATGGTAGTGAAATTGTGGGATGGACCATATGAACTCTTCACATTCCTTTCTGTTCCAGTAAGTTTATGCCACAACTGTGAAGTCCAAAAAGATCCATTCATCTTCCACTTACATATATGAACAACCCCTCCCCTTCCAACAAACAAAGTTTATACGGCTCCAAGGCAAGGGCTCCATCCAGCCCAGCAGTTCCTGCTCCCAAAACACTCAAATTCATTTTACAAAGCGAACCATGTTCCATCTTGTCAAGTGGGGTGAATGACTCCCCCTTCCCTTTTTTCCCTCCAAATGCAACAGCCCACATTAGGGAAAAAATTCTTCTGAAGTCAAATACGACCATTAGTTCCAAACATTTGAGCAAGATACATGAGTTAGGAGCAGGACCACCATGAACACCTCTGCCCAGCTTTTCATCTCTCACTAATGCTGATCTGATATTTTAGAGAAGGCAAAACTTCCCCAAGTCACTGATGCCTTAAGCCCCTATTAGTTTTTTATTTTTCTAGATTTTGTAAGCTTTATAAGTTTTATAAGTAGTGGAAGTAGATGTTAAAAGCAGCAGCCCTCATTTCTTTACCCTGTAGTACAAGTAGTTTGCACATTCCTTAACCCTCTTACCCCATTCCATGCACCCTATACCAATCCTACCCCCCGAATCCAGTAGAAATGTTTAGTCTCTTGTCAAGGCAAGGCCTATATTGTTTAGAGAACACTCATATCTAGGCCTGAACAACAGAACAGAGTCAAGAACTAGGTGACTATGTACCCTTTGTGCTCTGAGGATGATGAGAATGATGAAGCAGGTGGTCCCAAAGGCTCCCAGACCCAATTCTCAGGGGGTGGACCCGAGGTGGACCAGAGCAAAGGCTACGAGGTGGACACACTTGGGATTGGACAGATAGTATTATAAAATGTAACATCTCAGGCACAGCCAGCGCATGCCTTGTAACATCTATTGCCTTGGCACAATTAAACCCTTTCCTTATCTCACCCTCAATTAACTGCTCCTGAGTTATTTTTTTAGCATCAACATTTTACAGCATCACACCCTGGAAGTAATGGAGCCAGGGACCATGGGGAATAAGTTCAATTAAAACAACAAAAAATATTATTCCTGAGCCTTGCTGGTAACTCACAGAAAATCTGGATTATGGCACTGACAGACAAATACAATACATAAACAACACACTGAGTGTAGTGAGTTAATCTTTATTCCAAGCAGCTTCCCAAACAGGGAAAACAAGGAAATGCAAAGGGGAGACTGAAAAGGCACATGAAGTAGTTCCTGAGAGGGGTTCTCGCATTCTTCCATCTGACTCTCAGTGGAAGAACATCCTTAAAAGAAAATCAGATTCATCTTGAGGACCCCAAGTTATAACATGCCATCCCTTACCCTCAGAGGAGCCACCTACATGATGAGCCTTCTCCTGCTTTCCGCTACCTCTGTTGCCATATCCTGCCACAGCAAAGAAACATGGTTTCAATGACAACTTCTTCACATCTAACAGTAAGGGCTTTTCATCCTTCTTTGGGGGTACCACCTCCCTCCCTCCTCCAGCTTTAATTGTCAAGTCCTGGGTCAAACCTGGCTTCTCATGCCAACCAGGACTCTGAATTTATGAAGCTTCATCATGAAACAACATAGGCTGTGTGCTCCCACTTTCCTGTTTGGGAAGCTGTTGAGATCTTCAGTCCTCTAGATGTCAGAAGCCTTTTTGCTCCTGGCTTCCTGTCCCAATTTCCTCATCATAAATCTTCTCTGGCACCAACAGTGTTCAGCTCAGTGACCTCCTGTGTATTCAGCTTACCACATCACAGAATTGTTTTTAGGGAATCACTTCCACATGTCACCACACCATATGCCCTTCTGCAGCCACAGAGCTGAACACACATCTTAAGACAACCAAAATGCAGGTAGTTATATAGGCCAAAAAAAATCTATGGTCACAGCACACATCCATCTGCAGAGAACTGAGAAAATCTTGCAGTCTCTTACCTGATGTTTATGGGTCTTCCCATCAGGAGTGACATACCTTTGTGTAAAGGAAGATGCCTGCATTTTGGTCACGTGATGGATCAGTTTGGGTCACATGATAAGGAAAGAACTGTGCAAACATCAGGGTACTGGGTGTTAGACTGCAGGCAGGATGATTACATGCCTCAGGTCAAACAACTCAAGTTTAATCCCACTTTTCAGCCATTATTAGGCTACCAGATGAGCTCCAGACAGGTCTACAGCACATTGAAGCGCAGCACAATTTACGTTTTCTGCCAAGACAAACCAGAGCATTTTGATCTTGGCTGCTTCTTCTTCTGTTGTAACCTAGCACCATTTCAGCTCCATCTGTGATTGCTGTGCTGGGAAGACAATAGAAAACAGAACATTTGTGATGAGTAGCATCTATCAGGTTTTAGTATCTAAAAGCCTTCCCTGAGACCCACAGAACAGGACCTGCCATGACTAGAATCAGAAATGAAAGAGGAAAATCAGCCAGGTGGCTATAGCTACTGTTGGTCTGCTTCATGGCCCAAACATGCACCTTTAAACCACTTTGGGATTTCCCACCTGTGGCAGTCCTTCAGGATCAAACCCTGAGGCAACCTCAGGCAACCCTGGGACACCAAGAGGCAAGTCGTGTGCCTTCAAAGTATGAAATTCACAGAAGCAATTAGGTTGGAAAAGACCTCTGAGGTCCTTGAGTCCAACCTATGACCTAACACCACCCTGGCAACTAGATCATGGCACTAAGTGCCACGTTCAGCCTTTCCACCAGGGACAGTGACTTCACCACCTCCCTGGGTAGTCCATTCCAATGTCTAATCACCCTTTATGTGAAGAAGTTCCTCCTGTTGTCCAACCTGAACCTCCCCTGCTGCAGCTTAAGACTGTCCTCTTGTCCTTTCACTAGTTGCCCGGGAGAAGAGACCGACCCCCCCCCGGCTACAACCCCCTTTCAGGGTGTTGTAGAGACTGATAAGGTCACCCCTGAGCCTTCTCTTCTCCAGGCTGAACATCCCCAGCTCCCTTAGCTGCTCCTCATAAGACCGGCGTTCCAGACTCTTCACCAGCTCCATTGCCCTTCTCTGGACTCGTTCCAGCAACTCAGTGCCCTCCCTGAACTGAGGGGCAACGTCACCGAGCCTGTGGGAAGGCACTGGGTGCAAATAAAGAACAGTGAAGGTATCTCTCCCCCTGAACAGCCGCAGAAGTGTTTTCAACGCAGAGATCTGCCCTTTCGCCTTCTCTGCGGGAGCAGGCTCAGCGCTCCGCTCGCACCACTGGCAGGCGCTCCCAGCGCGCCCCTCGCCAACACCCCGAAATTAACCCGCATCTTCCAGGACCGCCACCGGGACAAGTTCGCGGGGAAGGGGAGGAGGGCGCTGCGGGGTCC